ATCATGGGGGTGAAAAAGAAAGTAGGTAGCACAAGAGAGAGGATAAAAAAAAAAAATGTGTCGGTGCTCTTCCTGCTTATTCGAAGTGAATCAAATTAAACACCCAGAACAAGCTACAACACAGCCGTGCTTCTTCATTACAGTCCACAAACAACAACACTAACAGGGCTAAGTGAGATAAAACGCCAGCTTGGCCCCTCAGCTGACGAATGTTTTTTATTGTACTTGCTGTGTTTAGTCACACATTTTCACAGACACAGTAGAAACCTTGCCTTTGTCTCAATTAGCGGTACATACAGTATGAGGCCACTTGTTCTCCCTAACCTGGCTTGATATATTATGCATCACAGCAAAGTGTTTCTGCGTGGCTATAACCGTGTGTAAGCGTGCGTGTGTGAGACTGTGTTTCCGCCTCGGCTAGCGATGCATTATGCAGTGAGACAGGAGGCAGATGCATGGGGTGCTGGGAGTCTCATTGCCTTGCTAGTTATTCTGTGTGTGTGTGTGTGTGTGTGTGTGTGTGTGTGTGTGTCTGTGTCTGTGTCTGTGTCTGTGTGTGAGAGAGAGTGAGAGAAAGAACTGGTGTATTTCTGATAGATACAGTTAGTAGACCTTTCTCTGCAGTGTTTGTGGTCAGCAGCCACAGATGAAGGGTGTGAAGAGCGTGACTTACATGCAAATGTGAATACATGTATGTGCGTGGACGTGTGTGTGTGTGTGTGTGTGTGTGTGTGTGTGTGTGTGTGTGTGTGTGTGTGTGTAGGAAGCTGACTGATGTACAGTGACAGGGTCGAGAGTGTCGCAGGAGTTAAAGGATCATCTGACAGCGACGACATCTCTACTGCTCTGCTGACTCCACACACTCTCTCATACACTCGCTCACACACACACACTTTTACTGCTCTTCTTGGACGAGGAGAGGGAGTTGATTAATATAATGTGCAAATAAATTAGGCAACATTCAGTCAAGCTGAAGTTGTAATTGGTACACTTGGGTGACCTCCGAACACACACCATAAAAAAGGCAATTCCAAAAATGAATAATATCCCATTTAAGCTGATTATTTTTTCCCTCATAAAACAGCCTTGTCAAGCACAATTGGCATTAGCTGGTAGATTTTCTTAGTAAGGCAATCAATCTATTTTTCATGCAAAGAGACAAGATATAAGTATGAAATGTGGATTACATGGTTGTCACACACTCACATTTCAGACAACAATTCAAAAACAGCTAAAGAATCAGACCAAAGGTAAAAGCCAGAGAAGACCAAAAAGGCCAATATTTGTCCTTTCTTATTTTATGTATTTGTATTTGTAGTTTATGTTTCCTGCCTAGACACTATGGATGTAAATTAGCATTTTTCTGACAATCCGGCATGTTTACATTGTGTATTTTGTACTGATGTTCATTAACATGTATTGACTCATTGAAAGAAAACAAATAAATAAATAAGTGGCAAAAAAAATCAATTAATTCAGGTTTAAGTGAGCCCAGATTCTAATACAGGTTCAAACATACCCTGGTAAAGCTCTTCACCATGAGGTATTAAGAGGCAAAAAACAAAAATAATGTTTTCATTGTCTCTTTTACAAGTTGTAGGGTTAGACAATGCTTCACAATGACACATTATTTTGCTTGTTTGTCAAAATTGGATATTTGCAGCGAGTGCGACAATCATTATCAGCTGATGGTGGATTTAAAGAGCTTTGTTAAACTTCAAAGGACTGGGCTCGCCAGAGAAATAATACCGTAAAGAAACCCTGAGACAATCATGACTTCTTACAAAAGAGAAACGTTTATCCCAGGCTCTAACTCACAGGACCCCCGCGCACCCAGCAGAGCAGGCAGAGTAGAAAATGAAAAGGTCTGTGTTGTAACCACCCACTGTAGGGGTGATAATAATGATTAGGAATGGCATGCGCCTTGCCTTTTGAAATAATGTCAATGAGAGTTAGAGGCAGCGTGGTGCTTCTCCAGCCAGCAGTTCCAATAAATTGCGAAATTGGAGAAGACACATCAGTAATACACAGATTTGTTCCCACAGAGCTGCAGTGCACACATTTCTGATGTATTGGATGACCTTTTACATACATCAATTACATCTTCACAGAGGAAGTTTCGTCCTGATGCATTTGATGTTCAATTTGTAGGAGTTTTTATTTCAGTGCCAACTATGTGAATAGCTAAGCGAAAACGCGAAAACGCCAAGAAAATTAACTACGGTGGCCCTGAGAGCTCAACGCACTCACAACACAACCAAGCAGAAAAATGTGCTGCTAATACTCACAACACAAGTAAATACAGAAAAGCGCTGCAAGTAGCACAGACGACAATGTTGCCATCTGTGCTACTTGCAGCAAGAAGCATGTAGCAATTTCAGAAACGCAAATAGACAAATCCAGAAAATATTGATTGATTGACATCGATCAACTTCATCGATTTGACAACACACCTGCTGCTAATACTCACAACACAAGCAAACAGAAAAACCTGCTGCAAGTAGCACAGACGATAATTTTCAGCTTTGCTTGTTTTGTGAGTATTTGCAGCGCATGTGTTAATAAATTTGTCAATTTGCATGTATTTTCTTAGGATGCAGTGGGTTGTGCACCGAAGTGAAACCTATCTACAAACTGCTGACTAACAATCGTGCACGTTCAGCTGCAGCACCTCTTACTTTTTTCATTTTAAAATGGCCCTGTTCTTATAAGCCTTGCATCACCTCCAATGTTGATTATTTTTTACACTTGTGTGATCTTGTCAGGCTGCCAAGCACTTTAATTAATCAGGTAAGTGGGAGATCAGTTGTTACAAAACACTGCCAAAGCTAACTGAGCTATGCACAGTTAGCAGACGGCTTCAGGTTTAATTCACACTGTACGCCACACTGTCAGCTTTGGCATGGTAAACAGCTACGGGGATTTTAATCAAAGTCGTCCATATTGATATTCAGAAGTTTGTAAATAATTGTTTGGTGGAGAAAAAAAAAACAACTCAAAATACATAAAGTAGAAAGTTGACTGCGTCCACACAAAGCAACATTTCATACAAGTACTGTAACTTGCACACAAACACTTCCACTGTAAAATAGAGAACTCAAGACTGTAAAACTGTATGTGTGCTTACATAATAGTGAAGCAAGGCAAAAGTTTTAACTTTATTTTAACCCGAACTGCAACTGTTATAATTACAGTCACCTCTTTTGTAATGAGGTTCTTGCTGTTCATACTGTACCTGTAAATCTGTGTTTTTCTCTCCCTCCACTTCCTTATCATCTCCTCCCACTCCATCTTTCTCATCCTAATTATTTTCTGCTCTTGCATCTTTTATGTAACCTCGGGGAATGATTAAGTAACAAACTGATTCAATTCAAAAAACAAAACAAATCTATCACAGTGTATTTCTCTGCTGTCTTGTCCTCACCTTTGGCACTTTCTTGAGGCTTCGCTTCTATGCTCAGAGCCTCCGGTGCTTACACAAGTTAAAGTCTGGGGAAAAAAAGACATGTCAAACAGAAAGGTGATTTGCTGTTATGCAAAACGGTTTACATGTGTGTATGTGGACGTATATGCAAAGACAGTGTCAAGGAGCGAAAGAACATAATAATATAATTAATAATAATTAATGCAGTTCTATCTGAGCAAATCAGTTATAGATGCCCCTTCTAACTGTACACATCAAATCCAAGCAATGATCTGCAAGTCAGAAAGCGTGAAACAATTGTTTTGAACTGACAATCCTGATTCACATTTACACATATTTCTCTTTGTGCTGGTAAAGTACAAAGGGAAATACGTTTATCTGCTTTCTGGTGGAGAGTCAGATGAGATACCAGTCTAATGTCTGTCAGTTAAATATGGGTCTACAGGCAGCAGCCAGTTAGCTAAGCTTGGCATAAACACTGGACACAGGAGAAAGCAGCTAGCCTCGCTCTGTCTCAAGGTAACAAAATCCATCTACCATACTGTGAGCAGACGTCTCGGTTTGTAGGTTTGCCCTGGTTTCAAGCTGGGTGTCCTAAGTTGAATCTGTAAAAACTAAAATGTCCTGATTTTCAACATTCACTACTAAAATGTCCTGGGTCTAGCCACAATTAAGATAATGATTTTAACGTTGTACTTCTACACAGACACATGTTCTGTCCCGCTCATACCTAACCCAATATAAAAACAAACAAAGCACCATGCATCTGAATTCAACACTGAATGGTTTGTATGTGTATAAATCAATCAATAAGTTGTTGGCGAGGCTGTTGCTAGCCTATGAGTCATAAGCTAATGTCATAGACAATGACTCTCTCTCAGTATGCTAACAGTTAGCTGTCATGAGACAGTCAGTCAGGGTGCTAACCCTAACCCTCTGTAAGTTACCCGGCAACAAATATGCCGTGTACATGGTGTCCATGTTGTTGAGAGGTTCACTTGGTAGGTTTGCTCCTTCACAGAGGCTCAAAGTGTGAATCGTGTAATCAACATTTGTATAATCATCCCAGTTTGATTTTTATTAAAGTCTCTCCTGTGAGCCGGCTCCACACTGCTTGCTGTAATTAGAATTTGGTAATGATATGTGTTAGAAGGAGAGCAATCATCATGCCACTTGTTTTCTTTTGTCTCCCAATTGAGCTTTCACTTCTAAAGTGATTAAAACTATAGATTATATGAGCAACAAACCTGTCGATAGGTTTTATTATGATCATCACATACTATAAAATAGATTCTGCTCATTAAATTTGGCTGCATGGGTTTCTTCTTCATCTGCTTTCATCTAATTTAATTTGGTTTGAAAGCACTGATGTTTGTTAAGAGTTGAAACAATAATTTTGGGGTGTTTGTCAGCTGTGAAAGCATCGGATAAAGGCACAGGGTGGAATATATAACCAGTTTGATTTCTGATCTTCATGTTAAATTACATGTTCTCTTCATGAGAATATGAAGCTCTGTCTTATAGCTCCACCTAGTGTTTGAGTCTGGCTCTCTGGCTATATAAACGTAAGACTTGATGTTGCATGAATCATTTTATTCAAAGATATACATAAGATTGTATCAATAGGGGAACAGCAAAGAGCTGGATGGACAGGAAGTGCAGAACATAAGCTACAGACAAATGAGCAAACACAGACACAGAAACAAGACTCAGATACAAACGAAAAACACTTGCATAACGAATTAAAATCTGAAATAATTACATTTAATAAATTACAGGATGTCACATCAAGATTTGACTGAATTTCCTCAACTCAACCCTGGAAAGTCTCAAGCTGAAGCTGTAACCACGTCCTGTTGTGACTGAGATCAACTTAAATTAAATGGACAAAAAGGGGGGAAACGTACAAGAGATGACATCATCTATTACAATTAAACCACAAAGTATAAAAAATTAAACTTCATGATAGACAAAAGACACAAACGCCTAGATGAACAATGTCTTATGGCTTGGCAAAGTACAAATCAAGGTAAAAATGGAAAAACACATGTTCAATTTAGTTCTATAATTATAAAGTTTTCTGTGAGTCACGTGTTCTTCACCGGCAAAAAGCAAAAAACCTCAATCATTACAAAAACATTGGAAGCTTTGCAATAATACACATATATATATATATGTATATATATATATATATGGCTATGTCATTTTTGGTCTCTTGAATCGTATTTACATATTTCATGTCAACAGTTATTTCTTCAAAGCTTGATTCACAGAGATGCATACAGTATTTACATTTAGTAGAAAACTGTTTGCCAGAAGAAAACCACACCCCACCTTGTTAATTCCCAGAAATCTGCAAAACAAATGTCACAACTTAGATTTTTCCACCCTGGAGAAGAATCAGCATTTCAACAACAAAGTGTTGTTACAGTACAAACAACTTGTATATACAGTAAACTCAGACCATTACCAATGATGTTACAATACTGACTACACCACTGTATTGTCCACGCCAAAAACTTTAATCATTTTTACAAAATCAATACTTTTTTGAAATTTTCTTGGTCATTTTCATGTAATTGTAAACTGATCCACAGTGAACTGGCAGCACTTCTTTAAGGTTTGTAGCCGTTATCATATCATAACCCTAAAAACCTTGACATCTGACTCAGCGTTACAGGGTCTTTCTTTACACATTTTCACTGTTAAAACTAGCAATACTGGTTCTGAGTAGAAGCTGTAGAAATCACTATACTTTATACCAAACACCAGTTGGTTACACTCTACAAAAATGAAATGACTATATGAGCTGTTTGTGTCTGTTAATCAGATGTAACAGATGTAACAGAGGCTTTGCTTTGACTTTTGAAGTGTCACATGTGCTGTGCTTCTCTGTAAAGCAACACTGGGAAAGTCCTTTGATGCCAACAGACGTTTGAGTCCATCTGATATCTGATACCAGCGACACTACTTCGCTTGCCTCTTGTCTTCACCACATGAACCTCTGTGTGGCGGTGCTGTCCGGCCAGTGGAAAGTCTTAGTGATGAAGATGTAAATTGTGGCAGCGTTGACCGCCGTGTAGAGGAGAAACTCCACAACGAGTCTGGGAAGAGAGGGGAGAGGCATGTGCAGGCGGTACATCAGGTAGGGAACAATAAAGTACCTGAACTCCAGCAGCTTCTGGGGCACTGTGGCAGCCAGGAGGCACGCCAGGAAAGCCAAACTCCAGAAGAGCGAGCGCGACTTGAAGGAGTCCAGAAAATTCCACCCAGCAAAGATGTATGCTGGGATGAGGAGGAAGCGCACCAGCTCGTGCCTCTGGAAAAGCTTTTTCCACACGTAGAAGGGGAAATGGCGGTTATCCGCCAGGAGGTACCTGTGGACGAAGGTGAACTTCCACACCAGGAGCAAGGAGACACCGGTGACGAAGAGGAAGAACAAGGGCTGTTTTTTCAGAGCCTGCAGGAAGCGCAGGGCGCGGTGGTAACAAAGTGAGACGGGGACGGAGAAGAAGAGGGTGAATGAGAAGAAGTAGAAGAGTTGAGGAAAGTTGAGGCAAGCCTCGTGGCTCGTCCTGTCACCCACCACGATCCCGTCATTCAGCACCACAAACAGCAGGAAACAAATGCCAACCACTGCATAAGGCCAGGCCACCAGCAGCACCGCCTTCACGTGACTAGGTGAGGTGAGGAACTCTACTGTGAAAAGTATTATTTTCTTTGCTCCGCTGAATGACAGAGGAACTTGGGATGGAGGAGACTTCTCATCCCTCTTTTTGGTATGCTCCACCCTCCAGGCCTCATCCATTTTGGCGGCCACCAGAGTGCCTGCACAGAACGCCACCCAGATAATGTTTGTCTGGCGGAAAAGCACAGAGCAAATGCCAAGGAGCGCTGAGGCCTTGTGGCAGCCGTAGAGTGTCATGAGGTAGGTGAAGAGGATAAAAAAAGTAGATCCGGCGTCGGTGTAGTAGAGGAAATTGAAGAAATAGAGCACAGGGAAGGTGGATAGAGACAGCGCTGATAGGACCCGGCGTGATGTTGTTCGTGTCTGGAAGAGAAGACACGTGGTATCAGAAACCAGACAATGACAAACAAGATCACTCATGCATGATTTTTGTCCTCTGGTCTTACCTTCTCTCTGAGGTGCAGCTTGCAGATGAGCAGATAGAGCAGGTAAAGGTTGCCACAGTTGAAGAGCAAGTTGATGAAGCGCAGCATGGCCGTGGAGCACACCACCTCGCCTGTCAGGTCAGCGAGCCATACCACTGGTTTGATGACTCCCACAGAGATGAGGTAAAGGCCCGGGAGAGTGGTGATCATTGGGTCCCACTGCACATGGATCAGTAGCATGTTAAAGGGGCATGTTAAAGTCTACTTGTCATGTAAAAAGAGTTGTTTAATGTCTTTTGTAGCTCTGTAGGATCTGTAGGTCTGAGAAAATAACCCTGATGTCATAGTGATGACATCACGGTTATTTTGGATTGAGCTTAGAGACAACAAATTCATAACAGAAGGTCTGTGTTACAAACTGAGGGTTTGAAATTTAGATAACATAAGTGTTTATCAGGCAATGAGGGGTTTAATGACAGACAATGTTGAGTTGCATCATGGGAAATGTAGGATCCAGCAATTTTTGGAGCTTTACCCATACTAGGGACAAAAAGTCAGGATATCTCAGCCTCTGATGCTTCAATTTTGAAGATAATTTTTTTTAACCTGTCTCTTGCAACTTTATGAAACTGCATAACTGAGTCACTGAAGTTTCCGTTTAAGATTAGTTATATAACGCAGATATTGTAACGTCATGTTTTCTGTTTTTAAAGAAACATTTTATTTTACATCGTATTCATTTTACATTACATCTGACACAGTGCCAAAGCGTATCTTGCATTTCTGTTTGTTAGATTTTACTGTGCATAACATTTACTGTGAAGGTTGTAAATTTATTTTGTGTTTTCTTGTGTGTATATGATGTGTGAACTACACTACACTGTCATTTGGGTCAGGGCTCCATATTAAAAAAGAAATTGTATAGCTAGATTTCTTGGCTATGTAAAGGTGTAATATGTAAATAAATAAATTGTGTGTTTTCCTATCCTTCAGACAGATGCTGCATTCATCTGGGGCACCATCGACTCCACTTTCAGTTGCATTACAATTAAATGGTTTTATAATTTAAAATAAAAACAGACAGACTAATGTCCACTGTTGTGTTATGATCTAAATCAAGTGAAGCAGACTTCATGTTTTCACACCACACTGAAACAAACTAGACACGGATAGGAGGGGAGGCTACATTATGTTTTAAAACATGGTTATCAGTGATGGAAAAGAGCTTTAAACATGAAAAAACGTCGATATGATCCTTTAAGCTCCTCTTCCCCACAGCCTTGAGCTTGATAAAGCTAGCCTGCATGTACATTACATTTTTTTTATGGCGGACATAACTCCCGCTAATGTCATTCTATATGTCCGACACGGAGATTAGAAGCTCTGCAAGCTGCCACCCCATGTTGAATAACAAAAGCTCCGCTGCTAGCTAACCCTAATCCGCTGAACAATGACGGACTCGCTTCAGAGAGCCACTTTACCTCGTTGAATTTTCCATGGCAGTATTTCTGAGCTTGTGGGATGTGGAAAATCTCGTCCATGTACGGCTCCCTTTGCTCCCGAGTGACTCTGGAGAACAGCAGGCAGGATACCAAAAAGTTGGTGCTGCAGAGAGCAGTGAAGATGTAGCCTTCAAATTTCTCCATGTCTGACGACGAAACCCGATGTAAAAGTAAACACAGTCCAAAGCTAGCTGTTATAATGTTGTGTAAACCGCATAACGACCAGGTTTGCTAAATAAAATCACTGTACAGCCTCAATTCAGAGGGAGACTGGTTGAAGTCTGTCCTGTATTTGTAAACGGAAGAGTTTTTATTTTTGACAGTTGGCGGTCCGCCTAGGAAACACGATCGGAAACGAAAACTCTTCGACAACTATTAGTTCCTCTGTTGCGCTAAATAGTTTAGCGTGATACTTTTATCAGATAGTCATTACCATAATCATCCATAAGTGAAATTGTAAAGGAAAATGCTTTTAAAATGTTGTTTTCTTCTTTTAGTGTTTTTTTTTTGTCTAATAAAGGACACTTCCTGTCCTGTGTCACAGTGTTATGGTTCCCACCGTGTACAGACCTCACGTGAAGCGCAGTGATAACCGTTTATGAACTGTAATTTTCTCATATTTTGTCACATATTTTTCAGCATGCATCTAACGCAGGAGCTAGAGCTGTTCCCCGATCACAGAGTGACTCAAATGCTTTTCAAAGAAGTCAAAAATGCCGCAGGGTTGAGACAAAGTGCCGTGGAGGGTAAAATAAATGGTGCCTTGATCAACCCTACAATGGTAAGACTTATTAAACACTTGTGTATCATATGTTTATCATTATATATGTGTATTAGCTCACAGTTATTTATTTCTACAAAAGAGAAAACGTTCACCGACCGTGTCTGATCACGTCACTCCATTCACCATCAGACTTTTTCTTTATTTACAGCTGGTGAATCCTTTCCAAGTGCTGGTAGCTGCCAATAAAGCTGTTCACTTACAGAAATCTGGGAAAATGAAGACAAGAAGTCTGTACTCAGAGATTATCTTCAACCTGTCACCTAATAATAATGTAAGTAGCATAAACTAGACATTCGTTATGATGCCTGTGCAGTCACAAGAAGCACTGTGTCCCGCCTTTACTTGCAGTAGCACCCCCCTTTTCATGTTTCATGTTTACTTATTTTCTGAATAATTTACTTTTTGTTCAAAGCAAAAACCAGCCTTTATTATCTAAGGACAGGAATATTCGTTATGTCTTTGGACCCTTACTCTCTTGCCCAGTGTTGTAGAAATTGAAGCTTATTCTTTTATTGCACTTAACATACATAAATGTGTAACTTTCTCTGGAGCAGAGCTTCAGACAGATGCATGGATGCATTATGTGACAAAATGCCCCTCGGTACAGACATGTTAAAGATTCCAAACCCCAAAAGCAGGACACCCAGGCACAAACATTGTTTGTTGACTGTCTGTGATTATTTTGCATCTCTTTTGACTACACACATGTTGTCTTTTGTCTCTTTGTAGGTGTTTTGTGTCTCTCTGTAGTCGTTTTGTGTCTCTTTTAGCTAATTTTATTTGTTTTTGTGGCCATTTTGTGTCTATTTGTAGTTATTTTGTTCCCTATGTAGTCATTTTTTGTTCCCTGTGTAATCATTTTGTGTCTCTTCATTGTTGTCTGTGTAGTACAGTAATGTTAAGTCACTTCAAACAGAGGCTCTGGTCCATGGTCTGTCGGTCCAGTAATCAGTCCATGGACAAATGTAACTACAAACCCTGAAAAACACAATTGTTTATTTTGCATGTCTTCCATAACACAGATCTCAGAGGCCTTCAAAAGGTTTGGGATCTCAGATGGCGACGACTCTGTAATGGTGGTTGTGGTTCACAACAAAGACGAATCAGAGCTTCTGGCAGACATCACAGCCAAGGTGGAAGGACGGCAGATTCCAGTGGAAGATGTTTCCTCGCTGTCAGACTCTGCAAAGATCAAAAAGGTTCCCCATCAATGATTTAATTCATGTGACTCATTCCACACCATATGAACTAATACATGCATCTGTGTATTTTTTTTACTAGACAGTAATTTTATATGAAAAACATATATACAGTATATATTGCATATAACAGATAAAGTACATATATAGACTCTCTGCATGTGTTATTATTAAATGTAAATTAATTAGGACATTTGGGATACAGGTTTGCAAATAATACGTTTTCAAAGGTTTCATTCCTTTTTCTTTTTTTTTTTAAATAACTGACATCATATCCGTCCTTACTTCCTGTTTTGTCTCCATTTCAGCTGTATAAAATCACTCCCCAGGAGGAGAAGTGTGGGACTCTACTGGATGCAGTTGTATGCAGAATGGCCACCAAGGATGTCATGTAGCAACAAGAAATAAGTTCAACTCTTCAACTTTTGTTGCATTTTTCCCATATGAGATGTCAAGATGGTTTTTAGTGCCAAGCTTGCAAATATTGTCCTTCTTGTACTCAACTTGAAATCTGTGTCAAGTCTCCCACTTTAACTAAATATCTTATTTTTCAAAGTCTTTTTATGAATTTGTCTTTATTCTTGCTAAATTAATTTTTCTACATCATTTTTAGACACAGGAGGAAAAGGTTTGGGAGGTAGTTAGGGAAGTTACAGCACATTATTTAGCTCTTCCTTTTGAAGCTTTCATTCCTTTGAAACTTTCCAGTGACAGTTTTTTTTTGGTCTCTGAAAGCTGAAGGTATGCTGTGATCTTTTTGACAGAGGGTGGACAGTGATGTAAAGCTGGTCTCATGCCAGCTGTCGTGAATAATGAATGTAAAGTGCCCTGGGCCAAATATCAGCTTGGTCTCTAGAGGACCCCCCCCCCCCCCCAAAAAAAAAAAAAAAGTCAACATTCACAGCATGGACATGAAAGAGCCACAGTCAAGCCACGTTTCAGTCAAACCCTGTCAGCCTAAGAAGACAAGAATATTAAATGTACTGGTTGTCTAAAATGTTTGTGGATGCAGATTTGACAGGCGTGTGCTCACTACAGCTTTGTTCTTCTAAATCACCTCAAAATTTAAAAACCGGCAGAGCATCACAGAGCTTGAACCTGGATGTTTATTTTCAATTTACTTCTTTTAAAATTCATTTGAATTCTCAGCTCAGATCATAACAACATTTGCATACTCAAAACATGAGACTGAGGTGTTTTATGAAAAGAGAAAGTTCTATTCACTAGAGAAAACAGCATTTCCATAGGAGGGAAATGTATATTGATTTACTGTAGTGTGTGGCACTTTGAAAGCTTATCAAGAGTCTGGCCATTGACATATTGTGTAAATTCAAATTATGGATCATAGATGATTGATCATAATTCATCTCCACCTCCATCAGAACAAATATGATACAACATAAACTCAATATCTCCTACAATTACTCCTTGATTCCTCCCCACTAGCCACACATAGGCACAAACTAGTCAGAATTAGTCACATAAAGTAGTTCCCCAGATGTCTCTCAGTCTGGGAAGTTGGCGAGCTCGTCTTTTCCGATGTTCCCTCCGCTGAGGATGCACACAACGCTCTTCCCCTCCAGCTCGGGTATCTTGTTGTTAATGATGGCAGCGAAGGCAGCAGAGCCCGACGGCTCCACCACGAGTCCAGACCTGTAGAGAGCGGATACCGCCGCCTTGATCTCCTCATCGCTCACCAGGACGATCGCCTCCACGTAACGCTGGCACAACTCGTAGGGCAACCTGCCTGAGATCCAAAGAACAGCATTAACTTCAATATGGTTTTCAGTGACACTCTGTTGTCTGTCCTTTTTGTTTTAATCAGTTTTAGAGAAGTTTGTGCTCACTTCCTTCCCAGAGAATGGATATTGCAAAAGTGGTCGTGTACAAGTAAGAAAGTACAGTAAAGTTATTGCTAACTATGGGCCAAACGGAGGTGAATAACTAAGTCGAAACTTTAATTAATTTGGAGTGAATTACACCTTCAAATGTGGGACAATGTGTGGAGGTGACCCAGAGAAAATTAGTGTCTTCTAATGAACAGAAAGAGTTTGGTATAGTACCTGCAAACGGTGGTGCAAGACCTGAGGCGATGCTCTTGGTGTCCATGCCCACTGGTTTCTTCTCAATGAAGCTTTTGTACATGGTGCAGGCTGAGTTTAAACAGAAACACAAACTCACAACAAATCCAAAGTAGCAATAGTCCATGACTGCACTCACTTTTGCAGATGATCCTTCTAAAAGCTGTAGGTTGAGTTTTCACCTCCCTCTGGTTCCACGCCGTAGATCCTGGTCTTATCACAGCCTGACAGTTTGATGGCAGCAGCCACACCGGCCAACAGCCCCCCTCCGCCGCAACACACCACCACCACATCGGGCTCAGATTGGACCTCCAGCACCTCCATACCGAGACTGGACACACAACACAGGTTGTGCTTCGACATTTTAACTAGTGGTAATTTTTTATCACGATGAATTGAGCTTTTTAAACTTGTTATTTACATCTCCATCATACATCTATGGAACAATAAATAACAACACAGTGTATCAAAACAGTTATATTAAAAATATCACTACTTTTACTTTCTGAACACGTTATGATTGTGTTCCTGTAGATGAGTGCACCTGGCATGTCCCGCTATTAGATCCAGGTCATCGTATGAGTGCAGGAACGTCATGTTGTCCTCCTGAACGCAGCTGTTCACGACATTCATCAGACTGGAGGTGGGAACTCGCTCCACCTCCACCCCGAAACTCTGAGGACAAGAATAAGTGTGCTGTTCATGACTCACTACAATCACATCTGAAGGACAAACAATCTGTTTGAAATATGGTATTTACAGTGCTTTAAGTAGGTGGGATGCTAATTTATGTCTTGGAAAAATGCCTGTAGTAAGAAAAAATGTATGGATTGTTTCAGAAAAAAAAGAGGTCTAATATGTGAAACTTAGAATTTTAGATACCATGCATGTAGTATGTTTTGGCAGAAATCTGATTTTGGGAATATAAAATTATACCTTGCACATGCTGACAAAACACATCTTTAAATGCAATATCTGAGTTCCTGCCTTGACCTGTTATTGCTATCTGTCTTGAGGTTTGTGTAGAAGAGGAATAATCTGAGTCTGTGTGATTAATCTTGATGGTCAAGGTCTGTGAGTGTATTTCAGTCAGGCAGCAGATGACCTCTGACCTGGATGAGGATGGATCTGGACATTGGAGCAGTTTCGGGCATCACCACCTTGCCCCTTGACCCATAGTGTTTTGAGGCGTACGCAAAAGACTTCCCATAGTTCCCTGCAGACATGGTGACAAAATGACCACCCTTTGTTCTTCGGGCAAATTGATTGGCCACTCCTCTAATCTTAAAGGACCCTGTCAATCAAAAACGTGGACAAGAAGAATCAAATCAAAAATCAGAACTGTGAGACACTTTCGCGTGAGATTCTCATAACTGAATCAAAGTGTTTTTTTCCAACCAGTTCTCTGCATGTTTTCCAGTTTGATGTGGATGTTGCAGTTGATGTTGAGAGGCAGGGTGGTCTGGCACCAGGGAATCATGGGGGTGTTGATGACACCCAGGGGGCTGCTTCTCACCGTCTCCCTGGCTTCTCTCAGTAGATCCAGGGTGACAGCATCTGCAGACATCTCACCCATCTGTGTCAGAGGCACACAAATCAGGAATATATTTGCATTGTGTAACTCCAATCTTAGGCAGATTATAAAAAATGCATTTCATAAATGTATAGGCTATATCTTAATAATATCAAGTACTGAATTGTTTTTATATATTGATTATAATATTTCACAGCTGCCCTGTTTCTCATTCATTTCCTGTACAAAATAGGAATAATATTCTAAAAGGTTAAGGTATATAATTAGCTAGCTATAATTTAATGATTTCTAATGGTGTGATAATAAACATGTGAGCAGTCCACGCATTCCTCAGCAGGCCAGATTTATTAAGAAAAGCTAATGAACACTGAACTAGAAAGACTACTTTTTCACAAATGAGAAATTAACCAAAAACATATGTCTAGTATGTTAGGCGTATTTCCACTGACCTTATTATTTGTTTGGATTTTTCTTTTACTCTAAAAAAGTAACAGCTCCGTAATGTTTACAGTGTTACAACATTTACGGCTCCGGACAGCGTAATGGTTCCGGTGTGAGTGGTGTTTCTAAACGGACGTTATTATGAAACGGACCGCAAACATGGCTGCACCTGTAAGTGACAATGGAGTGCAGTTAGATAACTTTACTTAAATACGTAAGTTAAAAAAGTATTTATTTTAAAGACTTTAATTTGAAAACATGGGGTTTGTAAGGCACGTCGTGTGCGCCATGTCCGGCGGAGTTGACAGCTCTGTGGCTGCGTTGTTACTGAAGAGAAGAGGTGAGGGAAAAAAAAAGACAAAAACACACAGACACACACCTGAAGTGTTGAGGGGTTAGATAACGAATGAGCACAAAAGTCAGAATCTCTGATATTTTTTTCCCCCGAATTGTGAAATGCAGCTCACGTTCTTCTTCTGTTGCCAAATGTGCTAGCATAGTCACACGTTTGTACTGTCTCGTCTTTCATGTGAAGGCTTCAATGTAACCGGCGTGTTTATGAAGAACTGGGACTCTCTGGATGAGAAAGGGATATGTACGACAGAGAAGGACTGCGAGGACGCCTACAGGGTGTGTCAGATCCTGGATATCCCTTTCCATCAAGTGTCCTATGTCAAAGAGTACTGGCATGAAGTTTTCAGGTATTTGTGTCATGCTCACATTATGAAACCACCTTATCATTATTATTATTATTATTATTATTATTAATATTGTTGTTGTTATTATTGTCATTGTAAATGTCAAATCTGGCTTGTTCTATTTTCAGTAATCTGTTGAAGGAGTATGAGAAGGGCAGGACACCAAATCCAGATATATTATGCAACAAGCACATCAAATTCAACCATTTCCACAAGTATGCCATCCACACTCTGGGTATGTTGATGCCACAATGATCATACACTGATTCTCCACTGGTTAACATTTGTTTGACTTTATTCATTTATTTATTTATTTGTTTGTTTATCATTTATTTCTTTCAACTGGAAAGCTATAGGCAGTAGTTTGAAATATAAGGATTGAATACAACTGATTTCCTACCATCAAGTGGGTAAAAGTCTTGTTCAGTAGGACTTTTAATTATGGTCGTGTTGCTGTTCATTTAGGTGCTGATGCCATGGCAACAGGCCACTACGCCAGGACGTCACAGGAAGACGAAGATGTATTCCAACAGACACACATAGCTCCGCCTACCACGCTCTTCAGAGATCGATTTGAAATCAGAAATCGTAAGTTTTTGACTCTCGTCTCCCAGTTTAATCTTGGCTGCGCCGGCTTTAAGGAAAGACCCTCTAACTGTGTCGACAATCTGTTTTCTGTCTTCCCTGTGCCAGCGGTGAGGATGTACAAAGGAGCAGATCTCTTCAAAGACCAAACCTTCTTCCTCAGTCAGATCTCTCAGGATGCCTTGCGACAAACCATGTTCCCGCTTTCTGGACTCACCAAGGAGTTTGTCAAAAAGATTGCTGCTGAAGCTGGGCTTCACCATGTTCTGAAGAAGAAAGAGGTACACACTCATCAGGAGAGCATGAATAGGACATGTTTTTATATCACCCTGTACACTAACAGTGAACTTTACATTTGAAACAATAATTGCAACATGTGACTCGTTCATGTTTTTTCAGAGCATGGGCATTTGCTTCATTGGAGAGAGACACTTTGAAAACTTCATATTAGAGGTGAGAAAATAAAATCTCATATATCACAATTTGTCTTGTTTTCTTAGTTTTTCTGTTTCCTTTTTCAGTGTTTCCTTTGGTTTGGAACAGAGCCTTCGGTCTCTGTTTGTTATCATTTATTAGAAGCCATCATTTATAAACAGACAAACTTTTTTTCCCCTCTTTTTTCAGTATCTAGAGCCTAAACCAGGAAACTTTGTCTCCATTGAGGATGGGACAGTAATGGGAACACACAAAGGTATTGTTTAGAGTTCAGAGATTCTGAAATTGTGAACATTTCTCCCCCAAATTAAGTTTGTCTTTATTCCACCAAATCCACAGAGTGTAATGGCTCATACTATCTTATATGTTAGTGTCAGCTGTCCTAACAACCGTATCCTCATGTTCATTCTCTAAATTTGTGTTAGACTTGAGACAGGCCATAGTACATCCTGTCCTGTCTCTTGATGTTTCCCTGACTGTTTGCATCCATGCAGGCTGGTTCACTCTGACGCTGGGCCAGAGGGCGAGGATAGGAGGGCAGAAAAACGCCTGGTATGTGGTGGACAAAGACATTGCAACAGGAGATGTGTTTGTGGTGAGAAAGTCTGACAGTATGTCCTCTATGATCTCCCCAGTACCATTGTCAGATATCTTCCATCGATTTTCATGTTTTTAAAATTAAAATAAAAACTTTCATTTTAGGTGGAATCAACTGTTAAACACCTTTTTGAAAATTAGCAAAAACTTTCCTGTTCCTTACTTTCTTAAATCTCGTGTGACACCTCAGGCTCCAGCGACCAATCACCCAGCTCTTTTCCGTGACACGTTGCGGACGGACCGCTTCCACTGGCTAACAGTGGACCCGCCTCCTGAACTAGCCAGGACCCAGATGATGGAGTGTCACTTCCGCTTCATCCACCAGATGCCGCTCAGTGAGTTTTACGTTTTCTTTTCATGTCACTTCATACCTCTGCTCCACTTTTCAGAGAGAAATACTGTACTTTTAAATTTACGAGTCTTTGGTGTTGATTTAACTGCTTAACAGTATATACAAGTGGAACAGAAACAATTAGTCGACTGTTAGAACATTAATGGAAACTATTATTTTAATGTGAAAAACATTTCATGATTTCCAGCCTCTCAGATATGAGCTTTTACTGCTTTTCCATAATTTTGACATTTAGACAGTTGGTTGGACGAAACAGGCAACGTGAACGTGTCACTCTGGGCCATGTTTAATTCATTGAACTTATTTTAGTTCATTTGTCACCGTATTCAGAATACGTCCAAACCAGGCAATCAATCGAGAAAACAGATTAATCCATAAGGAAAATGGTCATTAGTTGCAGTCCTATAAAACTGAAAATTAGCTCCACCTCAACCAATTATAACAGTGAAATGCTGGTTATGCATTAATGCATGAGTAATAATAATCAGGTGCTAGGATACATAATAGTAGAACAGTCACAGGGGTTATTTGTTCTGCGTTGAGAACTTTTACTTTGAATAGTTTCAGGACATTTCTTTTTATTATACTTACATACTTATACTTAAGTAACATTTTCAACACAGGACATTTACTTGTAATGGACTATTTATTAGTTCTTTAGTTAAAAAAAGGCTCTGAATTCTTTTTTATGTGTTCCAGCTCCCTGTACAGTAACTCTGAACATGGACGGCTCTGTATGGATCTCACTCTCACAGGCAGTCAGAGCTCTGACACCTGGACAGGTAACAGCTAACACACATGTGTTACAGAACATAGTGTAATTGCTCAGGACTGCTAATGTTACACCAGTTACTAAAAGACTAAAAAAAACGTACATACGATTCCTTTGTCTTCCTGTAGGAGTATTTTTGTTTTTCCCCTATCCTGTAATTTCTTCCCCAGTTTGCCGTGCTCTACAAAGGGGACGAGTGTCTGGGCAGCGGGAAGATGATCCAGCTGGGGCCAAGTGAATACACACTCCAGAAAGGCCGGGAACGGTTGATAGCTGCCGCGCAGCACAAGGAGCAGCCGACCCCCGAACCTGCCAGCTGAGGTGACCTCACAGCCCAGCGGTGAAGGGAACACAGTCTGTCTGCTACATTAGGTAGAGCAACACTAAACACGAAAAAAGGGCTTTGGGACCTTATGTCTCTGCTGGAGGCCGTATTTGAGGTGGTTGTAAATGGTTGATAGTGTTTTTAAATGCTCAACTTTGACATCTAAACAGTCTTGATGACACAAGGAGCCTGTTGCTTGGATTAATCATCCAGGTCAAAGTGGTTTAGGAATATAAACTGGAGCTAAAATAAGACGGTTTACAAAGTAAAAAGAATACAATCATTCACTTTACTTCTAACATCACTGAATAAAATTACCATCACCACATTATCTTGATCGGGAACAGTGTCTGTTTCAGATCATAATATACACAGGTTGTTATTATTTATACTCTGATAACTGTCCTTCGAACTTCCATGGTGGCAGTCGTTCTGCTGTGTTTGTTGACTGCATCAAAAAGAACATAAGCACCTTAAATTAAGTTTACTACAGATAAAAAAAATACTGTTGGATAATCGATCAATATACCAATTGATCCTTGTGTATCTGTTTAAGAGTATAAACTCTGTGCTGGATGTACTGTATTTTCAAAATAATTTCCACACAAGAAGAGTAAGTGAAGCTGTAGAAAACGCAGATCTTGGTGTTAGGACCCAGGGTGTGTGAAAACACCTTCCTTCTTAAAGGACCGTGGGTTGTCTGTGCCCTTCAGGGTTCTGCTGGGATTTGATTGTCAGCCAGAAAGGCTCCATGTGGATCCAGAAATGTGGGACATGACTATGACACAATTTTTGTGGATTCAGACTAATCTGTGAATAACAACAACCGCTTAATTCCTTCTCCTCCTTTACCTCTTTTCTGACTGTCACTCATGTTCATCTTGACTCTGAGCCGCCTGCACGCCTCTGCATCTAATGAAAAATGTTTTAATACACGTTTTACAACATTTAAACTCCAGCTTTAGTTTTTGATGCTGACATTTCATTGATGATCCGTATCAGACTCAGTTCTTGTGTTTTCACCTCTAAGGTGAAATTATGTTCCAAAACCAGCTGATGGTAAATATAGGAGTGGTAATTGCCTAAAAACATGTTAACAAACGATGGCAGCCGAATACGAAACCAAAAATGGTGTTATTTATTATTTTTGCCCTTTTACACGTGTCAACCACATTCTGAGTCAGTTTTTAATTATTTTAAATCATTGAAGAAACAATGAAATTGTTTTTTAATGCATATTGATTCCTTGTTGAGAAAATTTCTAGTGCCTTTTCTAGTCAGGTGTTGTTGCTGTTGTAGGTCGTGGAACTAAACTACAAACT